GCCAATTGGGCGGAGCGACCGATTGGGCGAAATACCATACGGGCTCAGTTTCCTCGTCGTAGGATAACTTCTTCACTTACATATACCTACAACTTTGTCGTTGGTCGGACAAGATAGCGGAATTTAATTTCGAGGTTAAACATCGTGCGGGCGTGAAAATGGAACATGCGGACGCGCTCTCCGAGCTTCTAGAGAGCCATTCAGCGTAACAAATACGTGGAGGCAGACATTCGGATTCTAACCGTTGTCCGCGACGCTTCGAGCCGGAGCTTTAAAGAATACCTCAGGGGCATAGCCCGAAACTTCCTAATGGAATTCTGAAGGAGATTGTGAACTCGGCGATCAATCCATCGGCAAGTCGGAAGAACCCGAGACCTGTGGTGTAAGGCTCATAATCATTATTCAAGTTTACAAGTATCTGGGTCCGAGTGTAAGGTTCGTTCTCTCCTCCGTAAGAAGAATGTCCCTTATTCCAGGATATCACAGGTGCGTGGCGATATCAAGACTAGCCTTCTCGGGTCGGGTTCTCCCGTCCATCCCTCACAGCCTGGCTGGCTCTCCGCCCAAATGGTATTCGCCCAATAGGCAGTTCGCCCAATAGGTATTTCGCCCAACTGGAAATTTGGAAATCACGTCAAAGCCTCTAATCCATTTCCTGGGAATGCACGTCGAGATCTCTGACGATCGTTCTGAAATCAAAATTCACCAATCGAATTATATTTCTGAACCTTTGGAACGAGTCCAAGTGGAGAACAGCAAAGAAATTGCTACTCCCATCGATAATAATTCGAAATCGGCTTATGATGACGAAATTGATCTGAGTCTACCTTACCGAGAGATTATCGGAGCGTTGCTTTATCTGACAATAGCAACCAGGTACGACATCGCATATGCGGTAGGATTTCTGTCGAGGTTCCTCGACGGTACCATCTCAGAAGCCAGAATTACGAACGCCAGAATTGCGAAAGCCAAAATCTCGAAAGCCAGAATTGTGAAAGCCAGAATTGTGAAAGCCAGAATCCTCGAAAGCCAGAAATCGCGAAAGCCAGAATTTCGAAAGCCAGAATTGTGAAAGCCAGAATTGCGAAAGCCAGAATTGCGAAAGCCAGAATGGCGGGAGCCTGAATTGCCTGGGCTCGGAATTGAGAGAGCCAGACAGATGTTCGCCAGACGAGTGCCACGGCGGTTTCCTCTGATTTCTTATCTAGAACTTACCTTGAGTCGCACGGTTCGAAAAGACCACGTCAACATTTTTGAGCTCATCAACTTCTTGAAGAAACAAGAAGACAAGGGGGAAGCCGACAGACTCTTGCTCCGAGCTGGGCAACCCCCACCGAAGCTCTCCACGAAGTACAAAGTTTTGAACGATCGGTTGATCCGACTTACAGGAGAATTGGAGACGGGTGCGAAAACGCTTATAGAATACATTCACAGCGTCGGTTATAACTTAAACAACAACTGACGCGATCCCGACCTCCGGAAATGACGGTCCCCAGTAATTGTGGAGGATGGAGGACCATATCTAGATCCTAAGAATAATAATAAGCAGACGAATTACTTCGCTTTCTGCCCTCCCATATTTAACCGCTTTTTTCTTTCGCTTACGACATTCCCGGATTCGAGCCGAAAGATATTGGCCTCTGACCCAAACTCAGACATCTAAGTTTCCGGTAACGCCGACCAGGCTCATTGTCATTCTGGCTTTCTCAATTCCGAGCCCATGAAATTCAGGCTCCCGCCATTCTGGCTTTCTCAATTCCGAGCCCATGAAATTCAGGCTCCCGCCATTCTGGCTTTCGCAATTCTGGCTTTCACAATTCTGGCTTTCACGATTTCTGG